CCAAACAGGTCTTGTCGTAGTCATCCATATTGCTCAGGGCCTCCTGCGAACACGAATGACGGAGCCGTTGGCCTGGGTTCCAGAAAAGCACTACGTACAACTCTGGACACAAGTCCACTGGACTGAGGTGAGAGAATGCCACCGATAAGTTAAAAAAAAGAAAGAAAAGGAAAAGCACACCTCTTTAACACAAGCAATTCTGTGCCTTTCCAATCCGTGCCTCTCCTTCTCCCACCCCACCCCCTTCCTTTTTTCTCTCCTTTCTCCCTTTGTCAGTGTATTGGCTTTCAAAACGCAGCTGCCAGGGTTTGTGCCTTCCAGTGCAATTACTACTTCTAGCTGCCAAGGGCTTTAATAAAAGAGAGCCGCTAGTATCACCTGGAGTGTGTTGTAGTCTCTTGTGAAGGGCACTATCAGCTCCCAGAGGGATGAAAACACGATTAAGGCCGTGAATTCCAGTTTGTAGTTGGTAGCCATGTGTTCAAACAGCATGGTCAGGCCATGGGCGGCGAGATGTTTTCGCTGATATTCCTCCGAACCCTCAACGGAGACCGGCCGGGTCATGGAGAGGGACACGTCCATCACCACCACAGTCGGCATGGTGGGGCTTTCTTTGTTGTGGGGGGGTGTCAAATGCAGAAAGGAAAACTGCTGCAAAGGAGGAAAGAAGAATTGATCTCCAATATCATTGTGTTTTATAATGACAGTAAAAAATACATCACCTCCTGAATGATATACAAGATTACCACAGAGGAACCACCATAACTATACATTTCAATACTTACGTGGGGGGGGGGGGGGGAAGGAGATATAAATCAGTACATTACAAGAGAAATTACATCTCCATGGACCTGAGGGCAACACATACGGTCCTTTCCTCCACTGATTCTCACAACAATCTCGTGAAGGAGACTGGACTAAAAGAAGAAGAAGAGATTGGATTTAAACCCCACCCTTCACTACCCAAAGGTGTCTCAGAGCGGCTTACAAACTCCTTTCCCTTCCCCTCCCCACAACAGACACCCTGGGAGGTGGGTGGGGCGGAGAGAGCTCTGACAGAAACTGCTCCTTTTCAAGAACAGCTCTTATCAGAACTATGGCTTGCCCAAGGTCATCCAGCAGGTGCAAGTGGAGGAGTGAGGAATCAAACCCAGTTCTCCCAGATTAGAGTCCGCGCACTTAACCACTACACCAAACTGACTGACCCAAGGTAAGTGACCACTGGGCATCATGGTCCTAGTCTAAGGCTGTAACTACTATACCACGCGGGGGGGGGGGGGGGTGGTAATGTTGAGGGGGGGGGATGGGTATATGTTGCAGAAAGTTGAAGAAAAATCAAACATGGTAAATCAGACAAGAAAAGGAAAGCATAAATGCATCAAAAGCTTTAAAATCTGATTTCATCATGTATGTTTTAAACTGTTAGCCCCCTTGGTGTTCCTCGTGAGGGCATTAAAGACAAGATATAAATTTGTAAACAAATAGGTGTAGATATTAGGAAGATGAAGGGTACTGAAGGACAAAAAGAAGGCAGAAATAATCAGGAGACAGGGAAAACGGTTGGCAGAGGACAAAGTAGTGGAGGGTAACTGAATAGTGACATCAAAGGGGAAATACAGCAGCTGGTACAGCCAGGGGGAGGGACACCACTGGGAATAGTGGTAGTGATAAAGCTGCCTCTGGAGGTCAAGCGAGGTGCCTTTTCTGTTATTATCCAGCATCTGTGGAACTACGTCCTGGGGGATACCCACTTAGGTTTATTTTCTGGCAATGGGCAGAATGGACATGGAACCCAACCCTGGGTTCAATCTTCCATCAGAAGGATCAGATAGCAAGCAACACTGAAAGGTTTCTCCCCCCAAGACTCTGGAGAGCTGCTGGATAAACCAATGTTGTGATTCAGTACAAGGAACCTGCATGTCAATCCCTTTCAAATAGAGATGCTGCAAAGTGGTCGAGCCCCTGCTTTGCATGCAGAAGGTACCAGGTTCACTCCTCGGCACCTCCAGTTAAAAGGATCAGGCAGCGGGTGACTCGAAAGATTTTTTTACCTGGGGCAAAACTGGGGAGCTGATGCCAGTCAGAGGAGGCAGTACTGACCTTGACAGGCCGGTGGTCGTATAAGGCAGTTTCATGTGACCCTGTCCCGCAGAGTTTTCAGAGGCAGTTCCCACTGTTGGGTGGGTGGGATGGATTCTTTTTTCTTGTCTTCTGCTGTATCTGCTTCTCTGCATATATCACTTTACCACCGTTGTTTAAGATCTGGGAAGCAAAGAAGTGGGCAGAGACAGAAATGATGCGGGGCTGCCAATTCCAGGTTAGGAAATTCCTGGCGACTTGCGGGCTGAGCCCGGGGAGGGAGGCGGCTGGGAGTCTGGGACCATCAGCAGGGTACGACGCCATAGAAACCCATCCTCCGGAGGAACTGGTCCCTGTTGCCTGGAGACCAGTGGTGGATCTCCTGGCCCCACCTGAAGGGTGGCCACCACCCCAGCCACGAGAGAATAGCCGAGGGAACGAGGGGAGGGGCACAGGAAAGGGGGAACCCGCTGAGGGACGGCGTGAGGGGAGGAGAAGGAACCGGGGAGGACGAGCTAGGCGTTACCGCCGCTTCGGGAACTGCATCCCCCTCGGTTTCCGGCCGGTAAGCAGAGATCACGCCCCCCTTTCCCGGTAAGGGGCTCACCTGCAGGCGGCGGCCATGTTGGGTCCGTCCCCCAAACCCTTCCCCGCCTCGCCGCCGTTAGGGCCGGAGGGGGAAAAAGGGAACCCGCCCGCCGCCTAAGTGGGCATGCGCAGTACGACCCCCCCTTTCCGCACATGCTCAGTAGTCTACGCTGAGGCTCCCGCTGTCCCCTTTAGAGGGCGGGGCTCGGCCGCAAACCAGACCTGAGTGTGTGAGGATTGAGACGAGATTTTATCATTTTTCTTTTTTTAAATGCCAATACAATTTAGCGGGAGGGGAGGAGGGTAGCCTCTTGTCCTACAGCCTCTTGTCCTTCCTCTCCTCACCCCCTACCTCTCTCACACTATTTCTCCCCTCTGCCCCCCCTTTTTTCTTGCTCTCTATTTCTCCTCCATGCATGTGACTTCCTCTCTCTTTCTGACCTGTCATCTTTCTCTTTGTTTTTCTGCCTCCCCACTTCATCACTCTTTCTCTCTCTTTTTCTGCTCCACCCCTCAAATGTCCAGGAATTTCCCAACCTGGAGTTGGCAACCCTATTTATTTATTTATTTATTTATTTATTTAACAGCCAGTTTACCTTTATCTGCCTCTCTTGTCTTCTGCTTTCCATCTCCACCCCCCAGCCTCTACCTAGGAAAATTACAGTCTTTCTCCACAGTGGGGACCAAAGCAGCTTTCATTGTTCCCTCCTCCTTTTTATCTGCACAACAACCCTGTGAGGTTGGTTAGGCTGAAATATGTGACTGGTCCAAAATCACGCAGTCAGCTTCCACTGCAAGATGGGGATCTGAACCTGGGTCTTGCAGACCCTACTTTCAAGCTCTAACTGCTGCACCTCACTGGCTTTCATAGGGTGGCTGCTGATGAATGGTAGCAAGCAGCCGAGGCTAGGTGAGTCATGCAAATATGGGGGGACCTGGCAACCCTAGAATACTGCCAGGCCTAGAGTTGCCAACCTCCAAATGTGACTTGGGGACCCCCCAGAATTACAACTGGATTCTAGATAGCAGAGGTCTGTCTCCCTGCAGAAAATGGCTGCTTTTGAGGGTGGACTCTGTGGCATTATACCCAGCTGAGGCCTCTCCCTTCCCAAACCCAGCCCTCCACAAAATCTCAAGAAATCCCCCAGCCTGGCACTGGCAACTCTTGTGAGGCCTGGCCCCACGGCTCCCTCCCTCCCTCCCTCCCTCCCTCCTTGAAATGCCAAAAGAAGCCTGGAAAGGGCCCTTCCCCCACCCTTTGACTCACAGAGCCAGTTAGAAGCCTCCTTCCCCCCCCCCTCGAAAGTTCTAATCTCTCTCTCACTGTGGATGCCTGGAGTTAGATCCCTGCAGAGGCCATTTCAAAAGGTATTGGGGGGAATTCAGCCGTCCCTGGAGGGATTTTTTTACTTCTTGGATTTTTCTGCAGACACAGGAAGTATACTGACTATGTAGGAAAAGCTGTTGGGGCAGAGGGAGCTTCCTGTTAGTGGAAATAAGTATCCGCACAACACGCCCTCTGTTGGAATTAGATATATAGATTCCCGCCTGAGGGGAGAAGCCCGTGGTGGGTTTGCCAGCCTCCAGGTGGGGCCTGGAGATCTCCCGCTTTGACAACCAACCTCCAGCTGACCAGAGATCAGTTCCCCTGGAGGAAAGGGCTGCTTTGGAGGGTGGGCTCTAGGGCACGGTACCCTGCTGAGAGGCCCAGCCCCTCCACAAACCCCGCCCTCCTCAGGCTCCACCCCCAAAGTCTCCAGGTATTAACCAGCCCAGACCTGGCAACCCTAGCCAGACTCTAGGTGGGACCTGGGGATCCCCCGGGAATTACAGCGGATCTCCAGACTGCGGGAGAAACCGGACGGACGGGAGTTTCTAGAATTATAAAGACTATTTAAAAGACATAATTTATAAGTATAAAAATTATACAGATACTGAAACTGAAGCTCAAATACTTTGGCCACCCAATGAGAAGGGAGCACTCCCTGGAGAAGACCCTGATGCTGGGAAAGACTGAAGGTCAAAGAAGACGGGGACGGCAAAGGATGAGATGGTTAGACAGTGTCATAGATGCAACGACTGAGCCAACTTCAGAGGACGGCGGAAGACAGGAAGGCCTGGCGGGATCTGGTCCACGGGGTCGCGAAGAGTCGAACTCGACTGTGCGACTGAACAACAACAACTCATAGAACTTGGCTTCAAAAGTTCTCTTACCACATTATGCAGCTAACATTCATGGACGGAGTACTCCTGTCATTCTCAGAGCTGCATAGTATTGACCTAGTTCTCTGGTCATTAAATTCTTTCAACACCTGTTAACAATTGGCGTGAGTGTTCTCTAATTAAAGAGACAGTTGCAAACCTTCACTTTACACTTCTTAAAATATACATAATGCATATTGTATAATTTTTATACTTATGAATTATGTCTTTTAAATAGTCTTTTGTAGGACCGGCAAAAAGCATCCATACAACTATTAAGAAAGCTGCCCACCTTTTTGGAAGACTTCATGCAAGGAGAAGCAGGTTTATAATTCTAGAAACTCCCGTTGGGGCTTGACTTTTAAAACACTGATGCAAAATTGTCTGGTAGTTATCAATCTGTATGTACTGAAGGTTATTGCTTATTGAATGTAATGAATATTTATATCTGACTAGGATGAAATAATGACACACTATGCACTTTACTAAATGATGACCATAAATAGAACACATTAGTTTGTTAAAAGGCTTTTGCAGTGTATATTTATTTGTTACTAGGCCCACCGGGAGGTTGGCAGTCCTAATCCTGTGCCTTCAGTCCAAGCCCTGGGTCCAATCGAAGAGAATAAGAGATTGGATTTATACCTCACCCTTCACTACCCGAAGGAGTCTCAGAGCAGTTTACAATCCCGTTCCCTTCCCCCTCCTCACAACAGACACCCAGAAGAGATACTGGCCTACCTTGCAGAGCTATTATTTATTTATTTTTACAGTTCAATTTTTATTTCCCGACGACAGACAAAAATACAACATTCCAAAATGTCTTTACAAAACTCTCATCCAAAAACAAATACAGTTTATGACTACAAAACACTGGAACAGTAACCTTTGCAGACTTTAAGGCTGTTAAAAAATATAACAAGACTCAGTAATATGGATTTATGGGGGTTATTTCCATATCTGTTAAATACCGTACTACAGGAAACCAAATTGCAGGGCTGTTATGAGGACTGCGGTGCCATAATGAGAATCAGTTGTGTGACAGTTACACAGCACGCTTCTTTTGAGCCCCCTTTGGGATCTCCGATATGCATTTCTTCATTTCTAGCCCACCTCCCTTACAAAGACTCACGGCAGATGGCACCAATTTAAAAAATATATTTTTAAAAAGACAGTAAACACCATCAGGAAACTTGTAACAAATTATACTTGTAGCATCACGGGCCACTGTGGTTTGTGGTTAAAGCCTTAGACCAGGACCTGGGAAATCGAGGTTCAAATCCCCACTCGATCCATGGAAGCTTGTTGGGTGACCTTGGGCCAATCGAGAATTGCCAACTCCAGACGGGGGGGAAAATACCTGGAGTTTTGGGGGGTGGAGCCTGAGGAGGGTGGGGTTTGGGGAGAGGACGGACTTCAGTGAGGTAGAACGCCATGGAATCCACCTTCCAAAGTGGCAATTTCCTCTAGGCCAAAGGTGTTAAACATGCAGCCCGGGGGCCGGATCAGGCCCCCGGAGGGCTTCTATCAGGCCCACAGTGGAACTGGCTGTCTTCTGCTTCTTCTTCCAGTTCTGCTGCTGCTGCTGCGTCATCGTAGGTTTGCAGTTTACAGATACACACCCGAACAGCATAAGATTGCAACAGCACAGACGTTTTGATGCAGTAATTCAGAGCAAGAGGTGTCGGCTATCAGACACTTAAATAAAATGTTCCAAGAGTGCTAATGTTTTAAGCGTGTTTTTATTTTCAGTTTTAAAAAAAAACACCCTTTGTGTTTGTATCCTTTATAAAGTTTATATCTCCGCTACCTGGCATTACATTTTATGACACACGTGGCCTGGCCCAACAAGGTCTCGTTTATTGTCAGATCCGGCCCTCATAACAAATGAGTTTGACATCTGTTATCTAGGCGAACCTTCCTGTATCACCTGGTGATCAGCTGTACACAAGAGAAGGTAAGAGGAACCCTGCTGGATCAGTGGCCCAGGGGGCGTCAGGAGCCCAGGGGGCATTTACCAGAAACCCTCCCTCCAAGGTTGCCCCTAGGGACGCCAGCCTCCAGGTAGGACCTGGGAAACCCCCGGAATTACAGCTCCTCTGCAAACTACAGAGCTCAATTCTCCTGGAGACAAATGGATGCTTTGGAGGGTGGACTCTATGGGACTGTACCCTCGACAGTGGTCGCCTCGAGGCTGGACTACTGCAATGCTCTCTGCATGGGGCCGCCCTTGGCGCAACTCCGGAAGCTGCAGCTGGTGCAAAATGCGGCAGCCAGGCTGTTGATGGGTCTCCCTATGCGAGAGCACATCCAGCCTGCGCTGAAGGCATTGCACTGCCTGCCAATAGCATACCGGATTCGCTTCGAGGTGCTGGTTCTTATCTATAAACCCCTTGATGGTCAGGGACCTGCCTACCTGAGGGACCGCCTTCCCCACACATTCCCCAGAGAGCACTATGGTCAGGGTCACAAAATTGTCTCTCCCCCCCCCCCCGCCCCCAAGGACACCCGCAGCCGCCCCGATCTGCCTCGCGGGGCTGTTGTGCGGGGCTAAAGCAGAGGAAGCGCGGTGAAGCCGCCGGGGCTCCCCGTCGTTGGTGCGTGGGGTGAAAGGCAGGGACAGAAAGGAAGGGACTAAAACGCAAACGGAGCGCGGAGAGCCGCGTCTGGCGGAGGCCGGAAAGGCCAATGGCCGGGGCTTCTCTGGCCCGGCTCGGGGGCTCCCGGGAGCTGCCTGCCCTCCGGCCTTGCATCGCAATTGCGTTGCAAT